GAAATCTATTTAAGATATATTTATACACGAAAATATAGAATTTTTATAATATAAGGCATTCGCCAAAGGCGTGACGATGGTGATTTGACAATAGTTTATTTTATTAAATGAGTTTGTCAAGGTGATTTATTAAATATATTGTGAGGAAATTATTAGAATCCCGTAGGATGATGTCTTTTGAGAAGGGCGAAATGCTAGAGCTTTTATAGCTTTAGCGAATGTAAAGGGTTCAAGGGCTTAGGGATGACTCACATATTACATCCTTAATGACTACTTCTAAACTAAGGGGCTTACAATGATAATTTACAACATTATTATTAGAACAAGGAAGGCTTTGCTTCACTCCTACAATCATTCATTTTACAGCCACTTCAACTATATCTAAATCTTGTTATTTGGTCTTTTTTTATTTCTTCTTACATGTTTCTTGTTCTTTGGATTTCGTGTTGGTTATTGTTTTATCTTTATTTGGCCAATAAGCCTCAACCGATAAACTAGTATTTCTTGAATTAATTATTTCGATCACGGGTTTGCTATGCCTAATTTTGTAGATCTATCATTTTAGCCCATGACATTCACCCAACCTTATTTTATGTATACCAGGCATAAATTATTATAATAAATACTTAATAAATTAATATAAAATAAGCTTAAAATAGAATAAAATAAAATAAAATAAAAAATTCTTATTCTGGTATATCATTCTTAAGAGATCATGTCATATCTCTGGCCATTAGAAAGGTATTAACTTGCTCACAACGAGTTTTAAACCCTAATCTTTTTAATTAACAGATAAGTATTCTAACTCATTTGTCTACATCAAAATAATTACTAATTTTGAAAATCTAACTCCTTAAGTTTGTAATTTGTATAACTTGATAATCCAATAGGAGAATTTCTTAAAACTTTATTTTACGAGATATAAAAAAATTAACTTTTAATGATAATGTCTCAAAAGTTTAAAAAACAACATGGACATCCTAAAAGACAAAGGTATATATAAATTATTAATATATATATATATATATATATAAATAAAATTAATAAGTTAATAAATTATAATTTATAGTAAAAAGAGTGATAAAGGAAAACAAAAAGAAGTTATTAATAAAGTACAACAAAAAGATAAAGAATTACAAATATTATCAGATAAGTTTATACAATTAGAACAAATTGCAAAAATACAATCAGATAAATTTCAAGAACAAGAACAAAAGAGAAAAAACCAAATAGATTATTTAACTAAATTATTATATATCAAAGAAAAAGACAAGTATAAAACAGCAGAAATAGAAGATTCTATATATAATACCATTAGATATTTCAGGAAAGAATCAGCTAAAAAATCAGAAAAACTTTGAAAATTAAAACAACAATTAAAACAATATGAAAAAGATCAAGAAGCCAAGGAAGCAAAAAAAATTTTCAAAAAGAATAAGAAGAATAGTATTCTACAAATTGGAGACTAGAAAATTTAACTAATGAATTAAGAGTTGAATTAACTAAAAAAAAACAAAAACTACAAGTTAAGTTAGAAAAAATAAAAGAACTAGAGAAAAAAATAGTAACAGTAAAAGAAGAACAAAAAGGATTAAAAAATGAATTACAATAGTAAGCGTAAAGAATTTAACTTATAATTATTATAATTAAATTATTAACTTAAGTATTTAGGAGAAATTAGTGGATTAAAAATATAGAAGAAGAAAACAAAAGGCTTCGTGAAAAATGTAAAATGTATGAAGAAAGTGAATATAGTTGGGGAGAAGTTGTCAATAATAAATCTGATTGGGAAGAACAAGATATTAATACTACAAAAAAAAATCAAGATACAGAAGAAAGTAATGATATATACTACTAATGAAAATGAAGATAGTATGCGAACAATTGGATGGAATAAAAATTTAATAGATATAGAAAAAATATCAATTGAAATTAAAACTGAAGAGAATGAAGATAAAGATAATCTTGAATACTTAAATGAAGTTGCTTATAGAAAATAGGAACAAGAACAAGATAAAGACTATAATAGTTCAGAGGATACTGAAGATAAAATTCAAATGAATTTTGAAGATACAGGAGAAAGTAATAGATTTGAGATTTTTTGGTTCGAAAGAGAAGAGAAAGATTATCATCAAATAGAGACAGAAGCTTATTATGAAGCTCTGATGAAATTATTAGATAAAAAGGATTCTTTTTAGTTTTATTGTATATGTAGAGAATTTATTTTTTATAGAGGAGTCTTATTTCAATTTCCAAAGTTTTGTTTTGATGATAGTATCACATGATGGTTGTGATCATATATGTAAAAAAAAATAGTGTTCTTGGCCATGCTAACAATACAAAAGTGTGTTCTGCTCTTGTTTGTATCTATTAAGCTTTATGGCTACTGTCAATATATAAACTAAGTAATATTCCTATCATATGTAATATTACTACTTCAGTTTATTGAAAATTCCTTATATTCGCTTTCTTTATCATAAGGTATCTACTCTAAGGTTTAAGACTGTGGATAAGTTACTAGTGTAGTTACATTAGGGTTTCTTCTAAATTGTTTCTATAATTTGAGTAATTCCTCATCTAATAACATATTCCGAAATTTTCTTTTCTTCTATTTGTGAATCGTTCTGTTTAATATATGAAAGTAGTACATTTTCTTAAATAAACATAAAGTCTTCTGATTTCTAAGCCTTATCTGGATACTTCGATTATTTTTAAAATTCTTGAAGCTATATATATTATAACTTATATAAAATAGTAATTTATACAAACTGAATTAGTAAGTATAAAATGATTTGCAGAGTATAATAGTAATGGTAAGTAATATGATATTGCTTTGTCTAGCAATATTAAAAAGCTTATATATAATTTTTGTTAAAGCAAATATTAATAAAATGTTATATAAAAAAAATTTTAAACTATAACCTTTATATACTATTCCCTTGTTTTATGTGATTCTTCCAGAATCACATAATCGAGTTGATAATTTAAAATCCTTCTTGACTATTTATTATAATATTCGATGCTTAAATATATGATCTCTAATTTCAATTGTATTGTAAGTTTATAATTTTTATTCAATTCGTAAATAATTCTTGTCCAGTACGAATTAGTTTAAATGCAACCTATCTTTGTATATTAGTATTAATCTAATATGATTTAAATCTCTCATTGTCTGATTATGATACTTATTTATTATCATTTTTCTAATCTTCTTCGTTTTAGACTTTTTGAGTCTTAAATGTTTATATTGATAGATTTTTATCTTAATTCAAAATTATCTTAAGTGCAATAGCACTATCTTGATTATATGATTTAATTCAGATATTATTTTTAAATATCAAACTACTGCTTAATTCTTCAATAGTTTTTCTATCATATTCAGAAAGTTATTTCTCTTTTTGGAATGAATCGAACATAGAATAATACATGACTTCATCACTATTCTCATGTAAAGAAGGATCTGAAGAAGGATCTAAGTTAAACTTTACAAGCTTCATTCAGACAATTACCCTTCTTTTAAATAAGTAAACTTATGTAGTTACATTTCCTTCTTCTTTTCTTTTCTATTGACATATTGATATCATTTACTTGACACTAATTAACATATACGCTAATCAAATATGAACACTAATCCCTTGAATGTTAAGTATTAACTTAACTTCATATGATGTCGAGTCAATAGTTTCTAAGAAAATTAACTTTTAGAGAATAGAACAATTGCCACTGTAGTTACTTTCATTCGATCTTAAATTTTTGTTCCATATTACTTATATATTATTATTATATATATATATATATTTTTTTTTTTTACACTATACTATCAAAATTCAAATTTTGTGCTGTACTTATTTTAACATATGCCTAGCCAGTATCAGACTTGATTTGCGACTTACAGGTTAGAAAAAAACTACACATTTTTGTATAGTACCTATTGCAGCATTAGCTTTGCTGATATTAGGCCAGATCAATAACTTATAGGCAAAGCACCTTTAACTTTGATAGTACAATTCTTTTCTTGTAAAAAACTAATTTTCTTATTTTCTTAAGTTATGTTTGTTAATCTATGTTATAATTATTGCTTGTTTAACTATGGATCCTTTTCAAATTATTCGTAATATAGGTAGGAACAAATTAACATTTCATTAGTTAACAGTATAAATGTTTTTATCTTCAATTCTTCTTTGGTATTTCTGTAAAATCAAATACTCGTAGCAATTATACAAGTATTCTACCATTTATAATGGTCAAACTTTTATTAATTTCAAATAAGATTCGAATATTTTCTAGTACTTCTGAATATAGTTAAGTGTTAGACTTCCATAATAGACGAGGTTTCATTTGTCAGGTGATTTACGAACTTAAGTTGAAAAGTTCATATCTCACAGTCACTACCAAATATTATGGGGGTAATTCGTACATTTAATTAGTTTATACATGAAAATATAGAATTTTTATAATATAAAGCATTCGCTAGAGGCATGACGATGATAATTTA